GGGGGGGGGGGGGGGGAGGAAGCGGCTTTCCCCTAGTGTGAGAAATCCTGATTATGAAAGCAAAACCATCTATAGCTCCAAGGAATACTTCTGGGCACCATTCCCCAGAGAGGAACCGTTCAAAATGGGGGCAACCGCGTGAATCCCTGAATTTCCCAGTGAGCTCCATTTTAGTGACGAGAAGGAGGTAATCCAAATTTCCCTTCAGGGATGGGTGACGCTTTTGACAATCCAGACTCCCCACGCTCAACTAGCGCTCTGAGAAGCAGCTGTCCTCACCGTGGCATCCTGCCCCGCGTAGTGGGAAATCACTCTGGAGCCTCCCGGGTGCCGCTGGAAGAAGCTGCTAATGTCGTAGACCTTCCTGTCAATTACCAGCCACCTCTCGCGAAGATGAGGCTCAATCCGTCCCGTGCGCAGCCCGATTTCTTCCCACGTGAAAAAACGGCGGGAACAGATTTCGCTCCCATTCGCCTTTTTCTCTCCCATTCCGACCCCCACCCCGGTATCCTGCAGCGGAGGAGCCATTTATCCCACTGGGTTAAATCCCGTGCTTTTCCGGCAAGGATCTCCTCGTGGCAACCCCAATTCCCGAACAACCCGGCGCCTGCAGTTCCACCAGCAGAAAGATCAAGCGCGCTCAGTCAAGCCCCTTCTTCTGGAGCTCTCTCTTTGGAACCTGATTGGCCCGTCGAGCTGCTGGGAAACGCCATTGGCTCTCCGGCGCCTCTCTTAATTAGCGCTTATGCCTCTGAATGTCAGCGAGCTGCGTGGTTCCATCTGATTAAGTCTCACGCCCCTGGCGAGCGATCCACCTTGCGAGTCCTCCTGAGTTTCTTCCACCCCACCTAACAGACTCAGCACTTCTTTTCCTTCCCAGGGCTTCCGGAAAAACCATCTTTCCCCGTGGTACGGCGCTTATTTCATGATTCATAAGCAAGTCTTTACATACTATTTAGTAATCTTCTCTGAATGGTATATTTCTTCCTGCCGGCATCTCGGGTCAAATACATTTTGCTGGTTTGTTAAGTTTAGCGTAATAAGTCTTCCAAAGCCCGTTTAATGGTTTGTTGTGTTTAGATGAACCATCACCCTCTCAGTTATAATCAAGAGAGGTGGGATTTCCCCCTCAACATTTTGAGTAATGTTTAGGGGAGAAGGGTATGTTGCAAGGATGCGGTAAGAACAAGGGTTGCTTTACCTTCAATGTTCCTTGGAGGCAGGATTAGATGTAATATATCCAGTTCCATAAGTCCCATAGATATGTCTAACTTGAGATATTTTTTTGCCTGCAGGTAGGGAATGAAGGGGCTGTGACCGGATGGTGCAATTAATGTGGGAGAGAAGTAATAATTACATTTAAGATAACTTCAACATACATAATCTTGTAGTGCTTCCTCCTCTTTTTAACAATTTCCACATAATGAAGTAAATTGAGGAAATCTGCATTTTTAAACTATCAGGGGATAGCCTCTTCCACATAAATGTGTCAATATATCTGCCAGTATGGTTGCAGTAGATTCTAGAAATAGTCCTAGAGTTGCTAATTTGGAATATATAACACAAACTGGTTAGGCCTCACTTGGTGAAGATTAATAGGGGGTAAACTATTTTTTTTTTAAACTCCTAGCCATTAAACTCATGTGCCATTACTGTGCTTATCCAGGAAACTCTAATGTCCAACAAATAGCAGAATTTCTTGAAGCACAGTTTGGAAACTTTCAATCCAAGATCTCCCAGTCTTTTGAGATCAGTAAGTACATCGAACATTTTGTGATCATGTAGCTGCTCAGAGAAAATGGCTGCCATAGTTGGCTTACCCATTTACAAAATGGCTGTCACAAAGGGTCTGGGCATTCACAAAACATCCCTCTATACAGAATGGTAACTAATGAGATTGCTCCCTGCTGCTCTAGCTTTTCCTTTGTCCTTTTCTCCGAGCAGGTGGGTGTATTTCAGAAACATTTGTTTATACCCACTTTCCATTTTGATTTTCTCAGAGCACCTGTTTGGTCTAAGAGGAATTCAAGGTCTCTGAAAAAGAGATTACTCTGGAGGCTGGTGCTTTGCTTTTTAAATAATCTTTAAAAAATTTAGAATATGGCAAAGTGATTGGAAGGCCACAGAGGAGATGTCTGTTGGCACATTAGTGCTTGCAATCTGCTTGTTAAAGTCCCTAAGGCAGCGTTGTCCAAACTTGGCCACTTTAAGATGAGTGGATTTCAATTCTCAGAATTCCCCAGCCAGCATGCTGGCTGGGGAATTCTGGGAGTTGAAGTCCACTCATCTTAAAGTGGCCAAGTTTGGACAACGCTGCCCTAAGGCTAATCTAATACAACACTCACAGTTTAAAATAGGATAATTTTAATAAGTGTTTAGTGTACTATCAAGATTCTTCACCTTGGATGAATCCCCCTTGGAAGTGGGATTACCTGGACTATTTATCCCACTTTTTTTAAAAGTACAAATATATTCATATTTAAACTATAATGTGAAAAGCTGAGGTAAAAAATGTCTCCATTACTCTGACTACCAAATACCACATACACAGTATAAAGTGGGGATCAAAAATGGTGGTCATCATGGTGCACAAGTTACCATGTGCAGAAGTGCACCCTATGAGAACTTCAATTTTTAAAAATGCATGAGGACTGAATCTTGCAAGATAGCTGAATTTCACAAGATCTGAGGTCTCATATGAGTTCTAAAGAGATTTTATATTTTCATAATTTTTAATATATAACTTTTTTATATATATGTGGAATCAAAATGCAGGACTCAAATACAAAATATTCAAGGCTTCATTGGAGTGTTTATTAGACAGTGCACACTGGAGGGGACCCACCAAGAGTTAGTGGGAGACACTCTCCTACAGGCAAAAATATTTATACACTTCTACAAGAAAGGGAAGGGAAAAAGAATGCATACACATACATATTCATATGATGATGCAAACATACCTAAATAAGCAATATTTCTCAAGTTACTTTCTACCCCTCTGTTATCTACTATCTACAAGGAAAACAATAGTGTCACAGAGAAAAAGAAACACATTAATTCAAGGTGCCAAATGCCAGGAAGAACGCATCCTCAAGGTGCCAAATGCCAGATCCCTTAAATCTTGCACAGTGGCTTTTACACTTAAAAAAGTGTCAGTCAGGTTAAAGCAACACGTACCTGGAAATTCCTTGCACCCATGGGCCATTTTGAATAACACAAAGTCAATGGCCAATCTATTTTGTAAGATTGCTGTCCTTAACTGTTCCTGCTCTTCATTTAGGAGAGCTATAGCATTTGAAGACTTGTTTATGCTGTTTATAACTAAACAAGCCAATTCTTTTTGAGATCTAGGTAAGCACGGGTTGCTAGACCTGGTGTTCCAATTAGGGATATAGCAAGCCCATAAACCTCTGATATTCAACAGCTCTATGTGGTCATCACAGGTGCTGTCAAGTGGGGGACCTTCTGTTAGATATCTGTGCACTCGCCTGGATCTGTGATGAGTGTAATTTTGGACAAGTGGTACTACATGAAATGAAGCTAAATGCCCAACTGCACAAGGGCCTTCAGAGGAATGTGCTGGAAAGTATGAAAAGGCATAGTTTCCACACAATAGATAAGATAATAAGATAATAGACAAATTACCGTTGGTAAGTAGCGAGGAACTCTTACAGAGTTAAGTTCTGTTACCTCCAAGCATTTTTCAAGAGCTGGTAGGGAAAGGCATGTCTTTTTGTCTTCACAGCCAACCACTCAGGTACAGTTGGTCCCTGGCAAATTGCCCTTGGTTTCTATCCTGTATGATGCTTGATTGGTCCACTGGTGTTTAGTGGGTGTGGACTCATGGTACAGGAGGGTTTTCCCTAGATAATCAAGGCTAAGTGGGTTGCATGTAGGGAGTGGTGTAGTCCCTTGAGAGCACAAAAAGTTTCACCAGGAGGAATTATGGAATGGACTAAAGTCAAATAAGAATTGTTTGTAGGAAACCAGCCTAGTGGGTGTGGCATCTTACATCCTGCCAGCTGCAGGTAAACCACACTGACCATTATAAACACAAGAGTAAACAGCCATAGTTTTACTGTGAGGTAGAAAGTAAAGAAAAAGAAACGGAGTAAATAGTAAGCAATCTGAATAACTCCAGGAGCCTGAGTGTTAATGTTAAACTAACAAGAGTCCATTAAAACTTATCTTAAGAGCTCTTCAGGGTTTCGTAGTCAAAACTTTACCCTTCTTTCTTCTTTCATCTGTTTGTTTCCCGGGAGCCTGGAACACAGTCCTTGGTAGTGCTTGCTTCTAGGCTGGAGCTGGAGTGTGCCTGAGATGACTTAAGTGAACCCATGAGGTCAGTCCTTCAAGGTTTGCACTGCTGTGAGCTACTAACAGCACTTGGTATGGGCCTTTCCACCTTGGGGAGAGACAGTCTTTCCTCTGATGCACTTTTCGATACACCCAATCTCCTGCTTGCAACTGGTCAAATGGTTCAGTTTCAGGTAGCCCATTCTGGTCATGATGTTGTCTGACTCGCTCTTGGGTTTGGTGCTGCTCCTGTTGAAAAGGTTATATAGCACATAAGTAATTTGACCATGAGTTAGGATGAACACTTTCTGGAATGGGGATCAAGCCAAGGCCCAGAGGCATTGGTTGCCCATATACAATTTCATAGGGAGACAGCTTTAGTTCCTTTAGAGGTGAGCTTCTGATGGCCAAAAGTGCCATGAGGAGTACATCTACCCATCCCCAACCAATTGTTTCTACTAGTCTGGCCAAGCAATTTTTCAATGTTCCCACCATCCTTTCCACCAGCAAGGATGCCTATGGCCTGTAGGCACAATGATATTTGAGCTCAGTTCCCAGGGCTATACCCATTAACTGGATGACTCGATTCACAAAATGTCCCCCTCGATCTAAGTGGATGACCGCTGATACGCCTCATTTTGGCACCAGTTCAGTTAGTAAACATTTGGCCACTACACTGGCATCTGCTTTTCTGGTAGCAAATGCTTCCATGTAATTACTGAAGGTGCATATTACAATCAACATGTCAGCAAAAGTCAGTTTGTATCATCTGGAAAGGGTGCTGCCTTCTAGGCAGTTGGGAAGGACTTGGCCTCAGTCCTCTCCCCTTAGAATGGGCCAGACAAACTGCACAGTTGCCAAGTATCTTCTGTGCTTCTGCATTCATCCCTTTGCCTGCCCAGTGTTGCTTAAACCTCTGAGCTAATGCTTCTGCTCCTTCATGACCTTGATCATGCAGTGATTTCAAAATGTGCCTAACTGCCATCCTGGGAATGATTACTATCCCTTTCAATTTCCAGACTCCTTCATAATTTCATGCTTGGTTCTTTTTCCATTTTTCTTTTTCTTGGTTAGTGGCATGTTCCTGCACCCAAGCTGCATCTATAGGTATGGTGCAGGGCAACAATTGTAAAAACTTCTGTTCTGGCTGTGGTTTGAGAGCAGCCTGCTTTGCTGCACCATCGGCCATCTCATTGCCTTTAACTCCTGAATGTGCTTTGACCTTGACTATTGCCAAAGCTTTCGGGTTCTGAATGAGATCTAAAATAGAACAAATTAATGGGCCATGTTTAA